ATTTGGTGAAAATGCTAGTTCAATCCAGTAGTAGCACAAACGAAGTGACAGACGGAGCGGCTCGAAAACTTTGGTGACTAACCTGCTATTTCAATTTTTCAGTGTACCACATGGCAATACCACTACTACTGGATTGTACCACATGGCAACACTACTACTGGATTGAACTAACATTTTCACCAAATGTACTAGAATGTTTTGGTTCTATCTCTTTCACTCTACTCAAAACTGAAATGCATAAAAAAAATGACAAAATGATACGCACTCTTTGCACACTGTTAAAGAATCATTGTACACAAAATCAACTTTGTGCAAAACTAAAACAAAAATAGTATCCCATCTGGTGGATGATGGCACAAGCTTCTAAGAAAATTCTATTACAGCGAACCACATTATTTTAATTGATTTCTTCGCCAGTTAGTCGTCTGTCACTTCGTTTGTGGTAGTAGTGTTGCCATGTGGTACAATCAACAATCAATACGAAACTAACGATTTTAAATTGGCTCACCACTTTAGTAGCCTATTGGTCCCAAGCAAACGATTAACGTACCCTATTCTAGTTGAAATTCTATTACTACACTATGTTTGTTTTGATTCGCTATGAAAGTTTGACAGATAACATCAGGGGTGTGTGGATTCATGCAGAACATGCAGGGGTGAGTGAAATAGCTTAGGACTGCTTGGGACCGTTGTTCTGGTACTGAGTGAGCCAAAAATAATAATGATTTTCTTCGGGACCCAGTGGTCTTAGAGTTACCTCTATGGTACAATCCAGTGGTAGTGGTGTTGGTAGTGGTGTTGCCATGTGGTACACTGAAAAATTGCAATAGCAGGTTAGTCACCAAAGTTTTCGAGCCGCTCCGTCTGTCACTTCGTTTGTGGTTTGATCTAGCATGTTCGGTTTCTATGATTTTTGCGCGTTCATTACCGCTGGGAGATAAAATTAAAACTTTGACAATTCCATCAGAGATGATGGTGGTGATTTCTTTTTTGTTTGTTTTCACAACCATTCAAATTTTGAATTTAATTTAATTAAAGAAAACGAAAGAAATCCAAGATATAAAATTTGTGCAAAAGGGCGCAATTGGAAACCGAAAAAAAAAATTAGGCGCTGTCAGTGGGGCTAAATTGACAGTTTGCCAAACAAAAGGTACAAAAACGAAAGGGCGTAATCAAAATTAATGAATATAAAGGGCAAAATCTAATTTTGAGGATTTTTAACATTAAAAACACAAAATAAAAATCTAAACTTCTAAATTGATTAACAAGGGTCAACTCAAGCTGAACGGTGCAAATAATAGACCTGCACCAACAATCAATACGAAACTAAGGGCATCTTTAGTGGCGGTCCAATTGACTGGATTGGTCTAAATTTTTGAAACAGATCCGAAGCTATCCCTAGCAGCGGTGTTCTAAATTTTATTTTATGCTAGTTTCAAAATATATTTTTTGAAACCCGTATAATTCTCGGTCTAATTTCGACTGATTTTGGACCAAGCCAACCACCGTTCCAAACCAGTTTGACAGCTGTATGAAGTGACGATAGGCACTCTTTGTTTTGTTTTGCTCTCGGTGTTGTGTTCCTGAAAAAATTAGGGAGCTTTGAAAATATCCAGAGTGCAGATTCCGGCTACGAAAACGATCCTAATCGTGGTAAAAACCCAAATACACGCAATCTCGTCCCAGCAGCGGTTTTGCGGTTTATTTTTTCGCGTTCGCGTGTGATATTTTTATATCATTTTGGAAGTGGATTTTGCACAGGAAGGAACCGGGAATCGATCGATTGTTTTAATTCATTTTTATCTTTACAGAAATGAGTCAAACTTCACAGCGCGGTAAAAATTGGACCTGTGAGGAAGATGAGCAACTGTGCAGGTCATGGTTGCTTATCTCAAAGGATCCAATTAAAGGAACGGACCAGCATCGATCTGAATTCTGGAAATCCATAAAAGTAAATGCAGATTCAATAATGCCATCTTTCTGTGCTCGGCCCCCGGATGGATTGAGGCAGCGGTTCAGTACAATTAGCCACCAGGTTTCAAAATATGCTGGTTGTGTTAACTTTGTACAGAGACTTAACGCTAGTGGGACCTCAACATCTGATAGAGCACAAAAAGCACGAGACATGTTCATGAAGGAAACAAACAGCAAGAGCTTCCGGATCGAATCGTGCTATGACATACTTAAAGATGAACCGAAATTCAAAAATCTCGAGGATACTCGCCAACTTTTAAAAAGAAAGCATCCGCTCAAGGACACCTCCAAGAACAGTGAGTATATTCCTTAAATAGACTCTTCATTTTTATTCATATCTCGATTACTTTTTCGAAGAGACGTATCTTCTTTTGCAAACGATGCATTTGATCGCCGGTTTGGCGTAATTGGTAGCTCGCCCACGCATGCTAACATTACTTACAGGTAGGGGCAAATTTCCTGATTTTCTGATGGTAGTGTTAGCATGTGTTGGTGTGCTACCAGTTACACTAAATCGACGATCAAATGCAATGTTTACAAAAGCAGATATATCCCAACACTTAAACTCCCTTATCTTGCGGATCACGTGACTCCGTCATTATAGTGTGGGACTGGGAGAGTCAATAACATGGTGTAGAAAAATACAAAACAATCATGAATATAAGGGCTAAACATATGCGTCTGTATTCCTTGATATTCTTCTTCAACACTTCTAGAGCTTTCCTGTTCCAGAATTCCGGGAAACCCAAGAATTACAAATTACCGTCCTAACATTTATTTATAAACCATTTCAATTAAATTTTAGGCGAAATGAGCAATGAGTCACCTGCTGATGAAATGGATGTTCCTGGACCATCCACTGCTCATACGGGTATCCCTAGCCCAAGGTCAATTGGACAAAAAAGAGCTAAAATGCAGAACCAGAAGGAAGTTCCATGGGGAGAAGTTCTAATAGAAATGCGAAAGAAGAATGAACTTCTTGAGAAGCATACGAAGACGCTAACTTGAATGTACCCATTAAATGCGTAAATTTGACTCATTTTATGCTATTATTCCAAACTGTCAAAAAATGGGTATTTTCAAAAAATGAAAAGCGGGTAATTTTTAATCATTTTAAAATTATCTTCTTGCAATAAAAATGGGTAAAAAAGGGTTTGGTGAAATGGAAGAGCAAAGTGTTTTGAAAGTTAACGGATTTCGCGTGTGCTATGTCCTGCAAATTGATCGGAATTCGAGCGATAAATACCGCGTTTCAAAAAAATATGCGGCGGAGGCAGCAAATTCTTTCCGGCCGGTGTTGATTCTGGTGAAAAGGGTGATCGGGTAGTTCCATTATTTCCATAAGAGTCAAACCGCAAACCTAAGTGTTGAGGAAGATCCGAGAGAAGATCAGCACGGCATTTCTGTGTGCTTTCAAGACCCGATTGTTACGAAGAATGTAATTATGATTAAATTTAGGTATGTATTCTAAAAACCGACGGTCCCGTTTCAGGTTAGCAGATTAATAGCGGGTTCGGAGAATAAAACGATGGTTATATGCCCAGGAATCCAAATCCGATTGTACATTTGGAACGAATAGAGGCAACTTCTTTACCCTACAAAAATTACAATAATGTCTACAACTTACACACTTAGTTTTTTCTACCGAGCTCGGCTGTGCAAATCTCGGCAAAAAAAAGTTTCACTGAGATCTCAGCAAACATTTCATATGTTTGCTGAGATTCAGCTAAGCGTTATCCGAGACTCAGAAATCAAATGTCACTTTTGCTGAGATCTCAGTGAAACTTTTTTTGCCGAGATTTGCACAGCCGAGGTCGGTAGAAAAAACTAAGTGTGTACTGCAACACTCGCATATTCCAGTACATCGGTTAATTCTAGTGTTTATGATTACCTATGTGATTATGTTTAATAAAGACTATGAAGTGTTTTAACGATTTTAGCTTTTACAAATGTTCAAATCCCTTATATTTCTCAGTGCTTATATTTGATGGCAGCCAGCCCAATGAAGCAAATAAAAAAACAATCAATAAAACGGTTACTTTTTACTCATTTACAGAAAAAACAAGATGATTAAAAACTACCCATTTTATGAAGTATTATTCGAATACTCATTAATGAGTAAAGTCGCTTTTACTCATTTCATGAGTTAAGCCACTTTTCTTCAAAATGAGTCAAATTTTACTCATTAATGGGTACTTTAGAGTTAGCGTATACACAGGGCAACTGACGTCCGGATTATGACAGCATCACTTGACGGATTAGACCAATGAGGTACAGAGAGAGGTGACGCAGATCGTGAAATAGGGTTGTTTAGTAAACCAAAAAATCAACGTAAACGCAAGTAGTGACGTCACTACTTGCGTGTACTTGCGTGTATCGTACAGTGGTTGTGTGAGTGATTGCTTCACCTCGGTAATCCAGCTCATTGGGATTAGACTACGTGTCGCAGCAGCTGCTAATACTACAAAAAGAGCAGCTGTTGTTGTCCATGACCAATTTGGAAACAACAATTGAAGAAGAAACCAATGGGATTATTGTAAAGCCCTACAGTAAAAGTATGGACGTCTGTCAAAAGTTGTTCCAATCGAACCGTCAAAATGCACCGCTTTGTTCGATTGGAACAGCTTTTTTCAGTTTTGTGGTGACAGTCGTCCATACTTTTACTGTAGGGCTTTAGATTATTGAGGAGACAATGTCGTCTCCTTATCGTATCCAGGAAGAGGATCATCTAGAGGTAATGAATTAATCAGTAAGGAAAAGTATCATTAATTTTATTTGTTACATATTTATTACCTTTATTCGCAAACTAAAATCTGTGTAACACACACACACACATACACACACACACACGCACACGCACACACACACACACACACACACACACACACACACACACACACACATACACACACACACACACACACACTCACTCACTCACTCACTCACTCACACACACACACACACATGTACACACATACGCGCGCACGCTCGCACATATATCCATATACCCATTATTATTATTATTATTATTCAACATTATCACCCCGCGTCATCCATAGATGATCTATTAAATCGTTTCTCATTTCGTAGTGAATTAACGCATTTCGTATACCCATACGATCCTCGCATGCTTTCGAAAAGTTTCTTTCACTTTGGATTCGGCTGAAACCAGCAGTTTCCTGAAGCGATTCTTGGGTGTATAAATTTTCGAAGTCGTTCTGCAGTTCAGCATGACTGCTTCTGGCGCGAATTCGCATGTTATGCAGTATTATGCATGTCGTAATCACATTACTCATGCTTTCCGCATCCCACAGCCGGCATGGATTCACCAAAATTTGCCAGCAAGCCTGAAGAATCCCAAAGCAGCGTTCCACGTCTTTCCGCAAACTTTCCTGAACCTTGGCATAGTGCTTCTCTTTAGAAGTTTGCGGTTGTGAAATGGTTTTCATGAATACCGTCCAGTCCGGGTAAATACCATCGGCTAGAAGATATCCCATAACATATTCCTTACCAGCCAAGCTCCATTGTCCTCCAAGAATGTTATGCTAAAACAAAATAGAGAAAACGATTATGTATTTAGAAAGTCATTCCCCTGATGAAGAGTGAAATCTGCGTGGCGTGGGAGGTGAGGTGACGGACTTGATAGTGAAGTGAAAATTATCACCTCGGGTGAGATGAGTCTCCGTGCATATCAAAGGATAGTCACCTCAAGCGAGGTGACAATTGTCATCTCACTAATGACAACGAGTCACCTCACTTCACTCGCGGCGTAGAATAAGGAGATTTACCTGTACAATATCGTTGATAAACGGCGAACGATCAAGAATGTTGATGTCATTGCAACTTCCAGGGCACCCAAAAAAACAATGCCACACATAAGTGTCCTGTGAAGCACAAACCTCTAGCACGATGGTGGGTTTGCCTTCTTTTCCTTTATATTGACCATGTAATGCAACTGGACAGTTTTTCCATGCCCAGTCCATACAATCAATTGATGCTATCATTCCTGGAAACCCACGCTTGGAATTTTCCTCCAATAACTTGTTTACTTCTTGGGTAGTTGGCGGTCGAAGGTATTCTGGCCCGTAAACTTCTATAACACCGGTACAAAATTTTCTCAGTGTGAAAAGAGCTGTTGATTCACCGATACGTACGTTTTCGTCCAGGGATCCTGCAGATGCCCCGTATGCTAGCATCCGCAGTGCAGCTGTGCATTTCTGACTAACTTTCCAGCAGCATCGCATCTCAATTTAAAAAAATCGTCATGTGCCTCAAGGTCGGACATGATGCGCAAGAACATTGTTTTCGGCATGCGGAACCGACGGAGGAAATGTTTCTCGTTATATGTAGAGTTATTGTTGAAATAATCATCCATTAAACGTTGATGACCTTCTCGAAAATTTCTGTTAATATTGGGGCTTCTACCCGGTTGCGAACCACGTGCCCCAGATAGCTGTTCTGCAATTGAAAACAGGCGACATAGTAAAGAGTTTAATTTTCATAAGGCAAGGAATGCCTTAGGCACCCCCGACACTCTATTCCAAGCACGCGGTAAACAATAAAATACAACGCTCATTTATATTACCAGTATTCACATCATAAAGCATCTTTTGAATAGATTTTTGATAATGTTCCTTTAGAAAAACCCCGTGCTTGCAATAGGGTATCGAGGGGCTGAAGCCGTTCACTGCCTTACTATGCCAAAACACTTTGGGTGGAAAAGCGTTAATTTGTTGATTACAATCAAATTAAATACATAGATACCTGTTGCCATCAAACCGATAATAACTTCATCGTCGTCATCATCGAATAGCGCGGCTGACATGTTGATCGCATCATCAATTAATTCGTCGAAATCCATTGTATAATGTTAAATGTGTTCTTTCAGTACCTAAGGAGAGTCAATTTACAATCTCTTTTAATTGCTGTGGAAGAACAATGTTCACGTTCTTCGATGGTAATTAAAGGCAAAACGTTGTTATGCCAAATGTATCAGACCCTACTAGCCAGATAATTATTTTTGATTTTCGTCATCGTAAACCCAGCAAAATGGAAGTCGAACGAAACGAATTAGGATAAGAGGGGCATAGTGAGCATCCTGTACTTTTACTTTGGGTTTCTAGTTGTTTGAAAATTATTGGAAGTAGGTTCAATATTGTAATACTACTACCAATAAATTAGTTTCGAACAACTAGAAACCCAAAGCCAATGTATAGAATGCTTACTATGCCCCTCCTTCCCCTAAGTGTGAACTGCTTGTATGATAGGTATGATCGTCAACGGGCTTCGAACTTCCAAGGACTTCGATGGCATCACAAGATTTTGATTTTTTCTCTCAAATCCAGCAGCAATCATGTAACATATTCGATTTTGTATTCAGTTGACAGGCAGTCGTCCATATAAAGATTCACTTATTTGTATGTATACCCCGTAGACACTCGCCACCCACCTTCCTCCTCTCGCCCCCTTAAGGTGGCTACGTGGTTTATTGGCAGGCCTTTGTTAGAAGAGGAAAATACTTCCAATGCATTGAGTGCACCTACACACCAAATTCTAGTTTAGATGTTCGGTAAATTTTTTTACGGTTTTGATCTGTAAAATTTAATTTCTACTGAGTGATCTGTAAAATTGCTTTAATTTTCTTCTGTCTGTCAAATAACAACAAGTTTTCGGTAATTCCCATGAAAATATAACTAAAAAATTTGCATCTATTTTACCGATGTAGTTTGTAAGCCATGAAATGTCATTTAATCTAAACTGTTCAGTAAAAGTTTTACCGATTTCCAGTGAACAATTTTTAAATACTGACGAAAAATGTAAACAATACAGGAGTTCAGTAATTATTACTGAACGCTTCAGTTAAAATCACGCCTGTCAAATCTTCGTCAATTTCGCATGTTAAGCGGTGTAAAATTCAAGTGTAAATAAATTTTAAGAAAATCGTGCGCATATTAGCAGAAAAAAAAACTTGTAAACCATTGAAATGGAAGACGTGTCCGATGAGATTAGATGTGCTAGCGGTCGGATGTGGAAGTAAAGGATCTTTTCAGTAAATACTATTTATATTATCTAAATGTTTTCATTTTCTAGCACTCAAATAAAATGGCTGGCAATCGCTGACTCGTTGGATGAACAGATTGACGAATTGCATTTAATAAAAGATATAAACAACAATTTTTATTGTGCATGATTTGAACGGAACAATTCCCTATATTTCACTGTTTTTCAGTAAAAACTATCGAAAGAACTGTAATTTTTGGCAGATGAGGACCTTTCTATTTTTCCGATTATTTTGTAAATTTTACCGAACTTCGGTATTGAGTGATGAGCTAGTCGGTATTTTTTGACAGTAGAGTATACATTGCAAGTTTACTGATCGATCAGTAAACCAAACTTTTACCGAATTGATTACCGAATGTTCAGCTGTTTGAAAGTCAGTAAAATGTTTACCGACAACTGTAAAAACAACTTGGTGTGTAGTTGCTCAAAGCTTCTAATGTGATATCTGCGAAGTTCAGTTGGTTATTGTTAACTTAAGTCATTGAAGGAACTGGAGCTTTCTGATATTTTGTAGGTTGAAACACCGTGCGATGTGAATTAATTTCTTAAATAACGTCATCATTCAGACTGAATCGCTTAAGGTTGGTCAAGTTGTAGAGTGCGACCGTAATTTTGGAGAAAACGTTATGCGTGAAATCCATCTCCGTTGAATATTGCGTATATGCTGCTAGATTCTGAAGTGAAGGTAACTGACAAAGATGAAACAGATCCTGGTGATTGTTGCCCAGAATTAGAGCCTAAACAATTCGTGTTTCAGGCGAAAGCATTTCCAGTTCGATTTTAAATTGGCTCACTACTTGACTAGCCTATTGGTCCCAGGCAAACGATTAACACACCCCATTCTAGTCGAAATTCTAGTACTACACAATGTTTGTTTTGTTTCACTATGAAAGTTTGACGGATACACGCAGAAAAAAATATTTTAAACGTAATAATATTTGACGTAAAATTAATAAGAATTTCATTTTGTTTTGGCTGCCAAAATAAATCATTATTATTTCAACAATCCAGTATCCAGTATAAAACCCATGGATTGTTAAATCAAAAAGAAAATCTTTTCGAATTTACAAGAGCTTTCATGGGTTTGACGTAAGCTGTCAAATATGTTTGTTTTTAAAAAAGATTTCTTGTTGATTCAATCATATTAAGCCTGAAAATATACGCAGTGGAAATAAAAATATGTTTATTGATTCAATATTTAATAATTTGCGATTATTTTTATGTTTTGTTACCTTTTTAATAAACATAATTACAATTGAATTAAAAAAAACTTTTCTGAGGCATAAATCTCTCCGGTTCATGAGTTGATGGGTCCATAGGTAGGGTCCAGGTGTGGGAGCGGCCCGAGGGGGCGACACATCCAGATTATCTTCATTTAACCATAAATCACACTCAGCTTTTATTCATCTAGTTACTGTGCGCTAGATGTTTCCATCTATGACATCTACTTCCATCGACTATCGCATTTTTTATCTTTCTTCACATCGCTCGTATCCTTTCATAAACGAACCAACCACCTAACGAAAAAAAAACAGCACACCATGTTTTTTGTTTACATTTTACTCCGTCAGTTTTTATCCTACTCAAGTTCAAACTTTTCATGTGTAGATAATTTTGGCAAATTATGTTATAAAAGTAAAATATAGAAATTGATAATACTACATCGGTAAAAATGGTAAAAAGTCTCCTTGGGCATTCACGGGAGGGCCTGGAGAACTAGCAAGGTTTAGTAATAAAAAACAACACGAGACGGATGAATCACATCACTCAACATTCGTAAGTAACTAGCAGTTCTGTCTATACCTATGCAAGGTAATTGTATTTTTATTTGATATCCAATTTTCAGTTCGAAGCTCGCCATGGAAACAGAAGAATTGGATCTGGAAAACGGAGTATCGCATGATCAGTCGGTCTTGACAAAGGCATCGGAATCAACTAGATACCAGGCTAGACATCAGCGATTCCGAAACCTATCCCAATTCATCTGCAGTGGAAGACTGAAGCAGTTTAGACGAAGTAAATCTCGTTGTTTGGATGATACACCAACATCGACATTGTGAACCGTAAAACTGCTCAAAAAGAAGTCGGGTGGTGCATTTACGATCGCCGAATTCTTCCAACGAACCGTGGACCACATGAACGATAGTATCGTATTTTATAAATCCGATAACAGCCTTCGATTGTTGCATCATACCCTGCAGCTCCAGGCAAAACCAAATGGGAAGTTACCCATTATACAAACAGATTTTCAATCGTGCTTAAATTTGTTTCGATGCTAAAATAAAGCTATGAAATCTTACCCCCTGGGCCAGTTCCCTATCAGTAAGTCTTGTTATGTAAAAAAGACGTGAGTATGTGTGAGTGAGACCATTTGAGCAGGTCACACAACATAAGGGTTATCATTGTTTATAGGCCACTCTTAATTAATTATTGAAGACTCAAGACGAGCTGGATGGATATGAAATCAAAATCACTAGTTTAATAAATAAATTGTGATTATCAAAAGTACATTAGTAGGGTTTTCCCTATCAACTTAAAAAATTGTATAGTAAATTATAAGCACATCCATTGTCACACTTGTACAGTTTGTGTATAGTTGTTGCATAGTGCTCACAATTATTATACAAATAATGCTCACGATCATACAAGTGTATCCGCAGCATAACATAAAATAAAACAAAGAGCGGTTCCACGAACAAGTGGGAAATTTTTCCAGTTTTTATTTTTTGTATTTTTTGATTTGCATGAAACCTTGCATACAAGTTTTTGGGGAAGAAAAACGCCATTTTGCATACTTGGTTCGCCATTTTGAATCTAGCCTTACTTATGAGAAGGGCCTATGAAAAATGCACATGATATCTCCAAAAAATTGTATCTCGGAAACGGTTTGTCCGATTGGTTTGGTGTCTTGGGCGAAGTTTTAGACAATTGTTGGTGTTATATG